GGTTAAAGGAACGCAGAAGCAGGAAAACATAGAAGGAAAAAGGAAATTGTGAGAATATAAGTGGAAAAAGAGTGAACTGTTTTTTTCTTTTTTTTTTTTGGCTAATGCAGAGAGCAGGAAAATTTAGAAGTAACAAGGAAATTTAAAAGAAGATGTAGAGAACGAAGTATGGAAGCGAAAAGGCGGTGGAATGTAAAAGGCACAAGAGCTCTGAAACAGGGGAGGCTAGGAAGCTTTGTGATTTCTAAAATATTCATTTCATGCTCTTAAATACCAAGAGATGAGTGCACAAACGGACAAATTACCATCTGGGATACTAGTAGTGCGAATTATTATAAAGGAGCCCAAAAGCTTTAGGCTGAACGCGGACGAACTGATGTGGCACTGTACTTTTTTATTGTTAAACTTATAAAATTAAAATTTTTTTTAGTTGTATTTTTAAAATATATATTAAAAATGCGTCCGGCACTTGAAGGCCAATCTCCTGCCTTGCAGGACATGTTTAGAACTAGTTGAACCTGGGTTTAAATTCAGGTCTCCCTTTCCCATCCCTCGAAGAAAAATTCACATTGTTCAAAATATATATATATATATTAAAAATGCACTGAGTCCTACGAACCAAGTGACAATAACCAACTCACAATGCACTCTCCCCTCTCTCGGGTTGGGGTTCGACCCAATCTCTTATTAACTTGTTCAAAAAAATATATATATATATTAAAAATATTTTTTATTATAAATTTATACAAAAATATAAAAATAAGTATTAATTTTAGAATTAATATCATATAAATAAAGTTAATTAAACAATTAATAAATTAAATATTACTTTTTATTTTTTAAGACTTTTAACTTTATGTATTAGAAAAACCCATAAAATTAATCCCTAAATTTAGAAATTTAAACTTACTTTGGTCCCTCAATTTTTTTATCCTATTTTTTTTATCTCAAACTTTATTTATTTATTTATTTATTTTTGGATATTGTTGATATAGTTTCTAATTTAATATACTATATAATATAATTAAAAATTATTATTTTTAATCTAAAATTAAATATAAATAAATTTAAAAATATAATTATATATAATGTAAAAATTAACTAAATTAATTATATTTATATTATATTTTAATAATTAAATTATACAAAATTTAAAAAATATATCAAATCAAAATATACCAATTATTTTCCTATTTATTACCAAATTATCATTTTCAATTATATTACATCTCACTTTCTATATCAAAAAATTTTATTTCTTAAATCAAATCAAGCTATTTTTTATGCGGCTTCCCTATATTCTTTTGCTAAAGTAATATTTGCATACCAAACATACCCTTAAAGTTCTCAACAACTCCCAGTACGTACTGATACTGAGTGTTACAGGGTACGTATCAGTTTGGTATGAACTAAAGAAATTTGAATTTGATTTCAAGTCCACGGTTGCACCATTATTTCTTTGGTTAAATTTCTGATTTGATCCCTCAATTTTCATTTTTAAACTAAATCTATCCTTAAACTTTAAAATACCAAAAAACCAATTTAATCCTTTTTTCAGTTAAGTGCTGACATAGAACTGTCATCTCATCCAAAAATCAAAAATTTTAAATCCAAAAATTAGGTGACAATTCTAAAATTATTTTATTAGTGAGGTGGATAATTTTTTTATGTTCATATCATATTTTTAAGTAAATCTCTTTTTTTACGAATTTTAATATATTAATTAATAAAGTAAATTAAATATACTGGGATAATCACTTTAATAAGTTGGTAACTCCCAAAAATCTTCACTTAATTATTTCTTTAATATATAATTATCTTATACTTAATTAAAATAAATAGTGAGACCCACAATTAATTAATCTTCTCTCCTCTTCTTCTCCTCCCCTGCATCCCTCTCTCCTCCCTTCCTCTTTTGGTGTATCTTCCCTCTTTTTCCAGTGTTATCAGTATTTAACCTATTTCTTTCGGCATTCTAGGTTGCTATTCCAAAAAACAATATATCGACAAATCTAGCTTGGCGTGGTGGTGTAGAATTGTAAAACTGGAATTTACCAACTTTAACCAATCAAAAATTTAGTGGTAGTACCTACGTGTAAAAATTAAGTACATGAATTTTAACATAAAATTTATATTTAATTTATATATATATATAAAATGCTACCCTATGCATTAAATAGGGTAAGCATTTTACATATACCTTTTGTTTTTATTCGGGACTTT